ATGAGGGTGGGTGGGGAGGGAGGAAGGGAGAAAATTTGGAACCCAAAGTTTTAAAATCACATGTTTAAAAAAAAATGTTTTCACATGCAACTGGGAAATAAGAAATACAGGAAATGGGGTACAGAGATCCATCCTGCCCTACAGGAAAACTGAAGGGGAAGGGGATAAGGCGGGGGGAGATAGAAGGGAAGGCAGACTAGGGGAAGGGGTATTTAGAATGCATGCCATCTTGGGGTGGGGGGAGGGGCGAGACGGGGTGAAAATTTAGAACTCAAAATCTTGTGGAAGTAAATATTGAAAACAAAAAAAAAAATAAAAATTGCCATAAAAAAAAAGACAAATACAACAGATGGGTAGTCTTCATACAAAAAAAAAAATATCTTAACACCCTTTACAGACTTTGGATTTTAAATTTAAAATAAATTCAGTTCCTTCTGCTGCTACACTCCCTCATCCCTACCTCTTACCCCAAAGTGAAATGAGCTCAAAGAATAATCTGAGTGAAACCTTATTACAAAATCTCACGTCTCATTTTCAGCAGACCAACACTGTTAAATACAATTAAAGACATTCAGCAAACATCTCTTCCTTTTTCCTCTAACCTCTTAATCTCGGGGAACTGGAAAGCCTACAAGCTATCAACAGAAATAAAAGCTTCCCAGGGATCTAGGGTTCCTTCTTTCTGTTTGGACTGTGCTCAGAATCGGCCTAATCCAAGAGGATCCCAAATGACAAAAAAGATTGGACAGAGTAGTTCTTAGCTGACCGAAGAAGAGGCTTGAAAAAAATAATGCCAGAAAAAACGTTCTCACCATATGAGGTGTGAGATTCATCAAAGGGACAGAGTAGGATAAATCACCTTCTCTGGATCTCGTGCTAGGAAGAGGATTCTGATGAATTAACCATTTCTGTCAGTGGTACCACTATTAATCCAGTCTCCCAAATCTGAGTCTTTTAATTCCTCCCTCACCTTTGCCTCCCAAATGAGTTCAGTTATCAAGGTCTATTGATTTTACTTCCACAACTTTTCTTCTACAAATATTCCTATCCCCTCCTTCTTACTCCCTCAGTCACTACCCTACTATAAACTCTCATTAATACCCTTTCAAGATTATTACAATAACACTGAAAAGGTCTTCCTACCTTTACTTCCTTCCACTTCAAATTATCCTTCATATTGTAGCCAGGATCTTTCCTTATACTTGGATATTAGTCCTATGCTCAAAAATCTCAGTGGTTCCCTACTGCCTGAATAATAAAATTCAAATCTCCTTTGTCTTATGTTCAAAGCTCTCCATAATCAACTGGTCTTTTTTATTCTAGACTATAATTTCATTTTATTCCACCACACACTGTACTCCATCCAAAGAGGACTATTCACTTCCCCCAGAAATAATATCATGTTGTCTTTTTTTATGCTGTTCCTTATACCTGTAATTTTCTATGTATTTGTCAAATCTTGCCCATTCTTAAAAGCACAATTCTATTGCTTTTCTATGAATCATTCCGTGATTCTTGATCGAAAATAACTTCTCTACTCAAGACCTCAGAAAGCACTTAGTTTGCAATTTTCCAGTGTGTTTATCATATAATATTACACATCTATGATAACGGTCAGTGAACAAGCATTTATTAAGCACTTACCGGCCTTATCAAGCACTGTGCTTTGCACCAAGGATACAAAGATAGACAAAACTGCTGTTCCTGCTCTCAGGCAGCTCACATACTAATAGAGAAGACCACATGCAAACAAATTGGTAGATTTAAGTTACCTACAGTAATGGAAGGTAATCTCAGAGGTAAGGCACTAGTAGCTAGTGGGGATTAGGAAAGGTCTCTTGCCAAAGATGAGATTCAAGCTTTGTCTTAAAGGAGGCCAGGGAAACCTCCACAAGGCAGAGGTGAAGAGGGAGATCGTTCCAGATGGGGGGGACATCCAGTGAAAAGGCAGAGTCAGGAGATGGACTAGCAAATAGGCCAATGATACCAGATCAAAGAATTTTCAGAAGGAAGTAAAGTATAAGAAGACTGGAAAGGTAGAACGGAACCAGTTTGTAAAGAGCTTCAAAAGCCAAAAAGAAGATGTTATATTTGATCCTGGTGGTAACAGGCAATCACTGTAGTTTGTCAGTAGGAGGTTGACATGGTCATATTTGACTTTAGCAAAATCACTTTGGCAGCTGAATGAAGGATGGATTAGAATAGGAAAGGACTTGAATCAGAGAGGACATCTGAGAAGATGTCTTAACCCTTTGCTCCATGAGGGTAGGGTGTATGTCTTATTTAAACTTCCCAGCACCTCGCAGAGAACACAGGCAGGAATTTTTTTTAAAGTGTCTAGTTCAATCCCTTCATTTTACTAAGGTTACATTATTTATTATAACATATAACAGCCAGGCCTAGAACCCAGTATTCTTGTTCACAGCCCAACAATGTCTCCTCTGTAGCCCAGATATTCAACCTACACAAGTAGTCCTGATATTGTAAGGGAGGATTAGAGCAAAAATGGGAAGGATCCCTCTTCACTAAATCATTACAAAATGTTTGTTCTGGACCCAGAAATGAACTCTTAGCCACTGCTCCCCTCTCTAGTATCTGCACCTAGGAGGTATGAGAACAAATAAACATGTTTACAAACCACATATATATTGAAAAATCTTGTGTCTATGTTGTTTCAAGACAAACAAAATTCTGTAATTTCCAAAAGAGAGGCTGAATCCGGGACATGGAGAGATCTAAAAATCAGTCATGGGTACATACTCATGTTGAGCAACAGCTTTTAATAATAATCAATGGGAATTTACTGAATACCTATTTGGTACTATGAGAAGCAGAGTGACATTATGGGAAGAGCCAGGAGAGCTCTGGGTTCAAATCTTGCCTCTGATCCTTACAAATTATATAAAAAAAGGACAAGTCAATTAACCACTATAAACCTGTTTCCCCATTTGTAAAATAGAGATAACAATACCTGTAGTACTTGCTTGGTGGGATTGTTGTGAAGATCAAATAAGATAATATGTACAAAGCACTTAACAAACCAGAAAGCAGTATATAAAGGTCAACTACTGTTGTTGTTATTATTACTAATAACAATAATAATAAATAAAGAAGGCATGTGGAGGACTAAAAGGTATCGAGTTCCTGCCCTCATAGGGCTCACAGCCTAGGGAGGGAAATGAGACAAATTAAGATGAAAAGATAATTAACAATACCAGGCAATGCTTTTAATAAGTGGCAGATGAGCTATGTGGACTCGCTTTCTATGTAACAGGTACTTAATAAACCAACTGAAATGGTCCTAGTAGGAAAACTACTATTCACAGTGGATACAGCACCAGCCCTGAAATCAGGAAGATCTGAGTTCAAATCTGGCCTCAGACCAAACACTTGACACGTACTAGCTGTGTGACCCTGGGCAAGTCACTTAACCCGACTGCCTCACCCAAAAAAAAAAATTCAAAAAAAAAAACCAAACCTACTATTTAAAAGAGGAAAACCAAAGAGGGAAGAAAAAAAAAAGGCTAGCCAACTGAATAGATTTTGTTAATCTAAACAACATATGCTTGGCCAGCTGTGTAGTTAAATACCAAAAATTTACCAGCCTACACAAATATTTGCCAACTTGGCTGATGTCAGTGTAGCAAGTAAAGCAAGCAAGAGTAATTTCTACCTGCTCTACAAAAACTGTCAAGCCCTTTAGATGTAGCCTAAGGCCAGTTTCAACACTATCTTGAACAAAATCCTCTGTGGAGACAAGACTCTAGCACCAGCAAAGGTTGCTGTCACTGAGAAGGGTGTTTTAGGGGTTTTCTTCCATTCCTAAAAACAATGGAATTTTCCCCTCCCAAGCCCTATTCTCCATCCATCTTTCTCTGCAACCTGCCATTCGTCCCAGAAGTAAGGTTAACTGCCATGGTCCAGCTGAGAGTTTCCAGAAGCCTCTCTAAAACAGAGAAGAGGTGGGAATATTCCAGTCTCTGCCTGCCAGGGCTGGGCAATGAGAACCTCATTCCTTCACAAGAATATCACAAAAGCTTATGGCATCAACCTGATGGAGGCAACGGGGAGTGGAGGGAGGGGAGAAGAGAAAGAAATTAAAAAAAAAAAACCCAGCATGAATACTACTCAATCCTGTCAGGGTATTCCAGAAGGACAAGAAAACTCTGTTATCTTAATCCCCAATAGGTTCAGCACTCAGAAAATCCCACCCCCTCTTCCTGATTTCTCTCCTTTTCCTGAATTAGTCAGTAGAGATAATAATTTATCCTAAAGCTATCCACCCAGAGTATGAAATTTCAGGTGCCTTTTTTCTTCCACCCCCCCCCCCACACACACACACACACACACACATCCACATTCACACACACACACACACACACACACACACACACACACACACACACCCCTACTAACTGAATTCCCTAAAGGCTCATTTCCTCAGCAGAGCCAGGTCTCCAGGCAAGAGTTTTGAAAACAAGAACTTCCAGGTCCCTCCTCCCTCCTGCCCCCATGATACCTTAGCTGAAAGACGTCTTTAAATTAAAAAAAAAAAAATCTCATCATCAGAGGACATTTCTCCCTTCCATTTAAATTGGCCACACATTGAAGATCAATCCTACACAAAGCCAATGGCCCAGGTCCAGGTCAACCCAGGCCAAGCCTAAGTGTATCTCAGCAGCCAGAAAACTGTTCCCACTATAAAATCTTCAGTTCACAAACTGGTCACAAACAATGCTTCAAGTACAGGAGAATGCATTTCCCCTTGTACTCACACAGGAGAGAAGACAGAGGGCTGTCTCCCTCCTACCCCAATCCATACAATTGTCTTAGAAATCATGACATTCTGACCATACTGACATGATCACCCTCAGGCTAAGAGTGAGGGTCTAGACAAGAGTGATACCCCACCCATCGCACCCATACTCCCTCACACATACTCCTTTTCCTCCATACTTACACACATATACACACACACTGGCCTTTTTCTTCATACTTACAGGGTCATTGATGGTTTCTGAGAAGAGGGGTGACTGGTCTGAAAAGCAGGACAGTATTAGCTGAATAAGTACCAGGATGAAGTAAATGTAGAAAGTGGCATCACGAAATATATCAATTTCATAACCCTGAACACAAGAGAAGAAAAGGCAAGAAACACCCAACTTTCAGAACTTCTACTCATCGGGGATATTAGGGGAAGGGGAGATATGTTAGGCAACAAGAGAGACTTAGAACCCACCAACTATGATCCTTACCACTCCCAATCAAAAAATGTCCAGCTTGGGAAAATAAAATCATTTCAGTTGCATTTAGCTACTCCATATAGCATATTCTACTATGTCTACTCCTGTTACTAGCACAAAATGAACCTGCCAGGTAAAAACAGAAATTTAAAGTTTGGAAACTACTATAAAGAAATACTGATCTGGAATGTGGGTCTATTTGAGGAATAAGGAAAAACTCCTTGTAGAAACACAGTGTGATGTAATGGATAGAAAGCTAGCCAGGAAAACTTGTGTTCAAGTCCCACTTCTAATCCATACTATGTTACGTTAGGTAAGTCTCTTAATTTCTCAGGGTCCTAGATAATTCTCTAAGATTGTAATCTGTACAATAGGAGACAATTTATTTCCCACAATAGGAAAGAAATGGTAGGTCCATTCCCCAAACTCCCAAAACTACAAAAAAAGTCACAGAAAGAGAGCTAAATGGACTTAACTCTTTTGAAGGACTATGCTTGTTAAGACAAAATTTATTGGTAATTTTTTTAAAAATGAGCTGAGGCTTAGCCCTTTCCACTTAAAGCATTTTTAAACAACTATTTTTTTAGACTCTTGGACTTTCAAAGTGCACATACTTGGAAATAAAAAAACACATCTCACCTCAGAGACAGAACAAGAATTTACCACACAGAGGTTATTCTGGGACAAGCTTTTCATCACCCAGGGTAAACGGCTGCCTCCCTACTTGCTCTCATGCTAAAGGATATGGGATGGTGACCTGTCTTATTATTTACAGTTAATTGGTTGGTCTACAAAGTACTATCTACCATATGGAAGTCTTACCCCCAACCTGGTCCTTATTTTCAGAGGGTCAGGGGTGGTATCCCTATGCTTCTATAAAATATTCAGATCCACAGGCCATGCAATACCAAGAACATGAAAGGCTGGCACCTTTCATGGGTACAGCAACACTCAAGGACAGGAGGTGACCCAGAGACTACTTACCTCTCTTAAGGCATGCAGGATTTTGGATCGAAAGACTATGACAGCACACAGCAGGGTAAGGAGCCAAAAAGTGAGCATGACCCCTGAGGACTGGACTCCTTTCCTTCTCTCGCACTGAATTAAAAAGGTAGCAAGCAACTGGAAAAGAAACGAATGCAAAACAGACACATAGAGAGAGAGAGGAAACTATCAGGCAAATGTTCTCAGAGCCCCCACAAGGGTCTGAGTGCTGCATAACAGACTAATAGATTCGAAACAAGTTTCCCCCTGGTCACCAATGTTTCCCAACTGTTGATGGACAACAAATTTTTACTAGTAAACAAAGCTATGACCACCGAACACCTGTATTTCTTAAAAAAAAAAAACCTACAAAATGATCTTTTTTTTTAATGATTCTACCTTCTCCTCGAATTTGGGCTCTTCCTCCTCCTCAGCACTTGGTCCCCTACTTGAGAGCCACCAAACAGAGACTACAGAAAGATGAGTGGTTTGCAGCAGGGAATTTATATACTTGGTCAGTCTATAGCACTTTGGTCTGAGAAACTCTGATCTAAATGGAGATCCAGAGACATTGGTCTTATGGTGGTTCCTTCAACACCAAAATCCATCTTCCTACTTTTAGTTTTTCTTTGTATCCCCAGCACCACACACTAAGTGCTTAATAAACACCTGTTGATGAACAGTGATGAGAAAAAGCTAAGTCTCATTTTGCTTAATTCCTTTGGGGAACTACACTTTGTTTTGTTAAGACAACATTTATCAGTAATTTTTTAAGAAGTGAACTGAGGCTCAGTCTTTTCTATGTTAAGCATTTTTTTTTTTAACAACCTTCAAACTATTTCCCAGGAGTTAGAGGAAAAATATCATCAAGATATGTTAGGGAATCCAACAGGGCATTCAGCTAAATATGTACCATTCTAATCCATGGCCAAAATCAAGATATTACAATAACAATAATGAAAAGACCTAAAATAATGATAAGATTATAAATGTTATAATGATAAGAAGATCTTGAGTTTGCAGAGTGCTCTATGTGTGTGCATATTTGTGCATGTATACAAATGTGCATGTCTTATTTGATCTTCACAATAACCCTAAGAGGCAACCAGATTATAGGAATCAAATGAGATAATGTATATAAAAAGCTTTGCAAATCCAAAGTGCTACATAATTGTTAACTACAAGGTACACTTCCTTCTCTATAAAATAAAAGGATTAGATTAGATGATTTCCTAAAGTCTCTTCCAGTTCCACAATTCTGTGACTCCGAGAAAAGGCCATCTCAGCACCCACAATGAATTGCTGTTCTATTACAAAGTCATTTCCCCCTTTCAAAAGGGCAACTTTTAGCCTGAAAACACAGAACTGCACCTAGATGGCTCAGTAAATAGAGCATTGGACCTGGAGTCTAGAAGACTCGAGTTTGAATCCTGCCTCAGACATTTACTAGCTGTGTGACCTTAAGCAAGTAACCTTTATTTGTCTCAGTTTCCTCATCTGTAAGATAGAGATAATAAATAGCACCTATCTTCTGGGATGAGGATCAAATGATGTAGTATTTGTAAACTGTTTTGCCAACCTTGAAGTGCCATATAAATGTTAGCTATTATTATTATTACAGCTATTATGAGTGCTATTCCATGCCAGTGTCACAGGTCTTTTGTGCAAAACAGAACCCTCCACATACCACAAACTCACACGCTGTAAATTTGTTACTGGGGGAATATATACAGCATCCAAAGGTACCAGCATAGTATGACTTGAAAATAAGAGACACCCCTGACATCATGACTTGTCACCCAACAAACTGGTGGACTCAAATACTCGTGTTCAAAAACCAACTGGCCACCCCAAAGTTTAGCATCAAGAATAATAGGGCAGGGGCAGTTAGATAGCGCAGTAGATAGAGCACTGGCCCTGGAATCAGGAGGAACTGAGTTCAAATCCAGCCTCAGACACTTGACACCTATTAGCTGTGTGACCGTGGGCAAGTCACTTAACTCCACTGCCTGCCCCCCCCCCAAAAAAATGCTGGAAAATACTGAAAATACTGAAGAATAATAGGGTAGCTGGAATGAAGGTGCCAACACAAACCATTTAGATGCCTAGCATCTGTGGGTTCAGTAAAAATGGTTTGGAGGCAGTTCATGAGTTGCTTGTGGTCACTGTCATATGGCAGAATGATTCCTATGGGGCAGGCTAGGTAAAGCCCCACAATTCCAAGATACTAAGCAGAGTTTCCAGGAGATGGGAAGAGATTTCTGTTGTTCCATTAATTCCAATCTAAAACTGCAAGGTACTCCTACCAGCCACTGAAAACATGCTTAACTATCCTTTGGAACAAATCTAATCAAGTTTTTCTGAGTCCAGGAAGAACATAATGGTTACAGAACTGGAAATAGGACTTCCCCACTACTCTAATACACACACAGAGGGATGTGTGCAAAGATGAAATTATCCTACATCTGGCAGATTTGCTCAATTCTCAGCTACTTCTGCTCCTTTCCCCACGGTAGGATGAATCCCAGCAATATGTAGGCAATTATGCCAAGAGTAGATACTCAACAGAGAAAGTCTCAAAATGAATAGCATAAGGATGACCTAGAGGGCGGGAGGAAGTTAAAACTGAAAGTGGACATTTGTTATTCAAGTCAGAAAAAATTCCTCTTCTCCCCTAAAATCAAGTTTCTCACCCAACAAGGACCAACATGAGACACTTCATACTTGCCATTGTTATGCCCAAGAGTGTAGGGCTGACTAGAAACACTGGAGCCCGGTAAATGCTCTGACTTCTTTCCCAGAAAGAGTAGAATAGGTCTGCCCAGCAGACTATCCACAGCAAAAAGCCGAAGGCCTGGAATAGAAACACACATTTAAACTATCATTGCTTCCCATCTACATTCCTTACAGGGTAGTGGGGGTAGAGATGGTAATCAGGATCCAGTCAATCCACAAATGATTATTATCTACATTAACTAAGGAGAACAGAGAAGGGAAGGAGGAATGGGCATATATATATATATATACACACACACACATACACATTAGTGAGGAAGCTCAATTTTCTCCTTCCATAGTAGATTCATCATAGCAGATTCACCTTGCATTCCCAAGACAGTAGGAAAGGACTGACCCTAAATATTTAAAAGGGTATGACCAGAGTCACTTTAAGGTTAAAAGATGAGGCTTTTGTTTTACTTCAGAGGACAATACACCAAAGAAGTGAGGATATCCCCAGTAATGCATTGAGATGAGTGACGAATCTCCTTGATGAATCTGACAGCATCTCCCCACCAGGCTGCAGAGAATACTCTTTGGCTGGCGAATTTGTACATCTCACTGATAACCATCTGACTGAGTCATTGCTACTGCAGATCTAAGGCCTAGGACTAGGGTCTACTCTAGCAAAGCAATCAGACAGATCTGCCGTAAGAGCCAAGATAACCAAAGCGGAGCAGAGTTGAAATGAGGTAAGCCCATACAGAGATTGTAGACATGGGGCCACTGACAATCCATACTCAAGTAAGCAAAAGCTGGACTACTTTCAGGTCAAGCAAAAGCACTATTCCCCAAAAGTGATCAACAGAGAGCAGTTTCCCCCACAGCAGCCCAAAATGTATGTCAAGAATAAATTACAACTGAAAAATATAGGTCCAAAAACATGCATTTTTAAAATACAATTCTTCTGCAAGAAAGGGTAAGGGAGATGATTTCCAAAATTCATTGCACCAGACCATCTTTCACAAACCTTAAAAGACCTTGAAGATAAATGGACAATTTTCCATTACCTAAAATTGATCATGCCATCCTTTTGTTTGTCTTCCTTCTCCCCCTCCCCCAGGCAAGGATGTTTCCCTTCTAGGATGTAGGGCTAGGGGATAGGATTCAAGAAAGGGTCAGCAAAGTACTTTAAATCAAGGAGATTTCTAAATATTCATCTGTGACATCTACAACCTGCCACTCAATGACATTCAAAGTACTTGGTTTGGCACAATCCTAGGGTGAATACAAGTCTCCAAATCATAGCTTCACTCTTCAGTTAATTTGGATAATAAATAGAAGAGGAGTAGGTGTCCTTCCTGCTAATTTACAGTACAAGGGTTATTCATTTTAACTTCTTGTTGAAAACTGAGTACAACCCAGTGAACAGAACTGTGCCATCTTTAACGACCCAGACTCTAAAGGACTTCAGCAGCATTAGTCCTAACATCTATTTCTACCAGGGAAGGAACAGAGACATAGAAGACAGAGGAAATCAAAATGAAGGTATAGTGACTTCAGGGCATACAGATATACCATGTATTATTTTTTATTAAATAAATAATTCTTTGATGAAGTTGTTTTCTTGTCACTGGCATCTCTCTTTTTAAAGCCATGTGCCAAAAAAAATTCCATCTACCATCTGAATGCTATGTAATTATAAGGACTAAGGTTGGCCCCCAAAAAGAAGAGCAAAAATGCACTCCCCTCCTTTCCTTGGAGAGGTGGTGGGCTATGGGTGTGGAGTGTTGCATAAGACATCTCACTTCTTCCATTTCAATTTACCTTCCTTCAAGACCAAAGTCCAAACCCACCTTTTGAAGGATGCCTTTTCTAGTCCCCTAGCTGCTAATGCCTCCCCTTTCAGATAACACTCAACTACTTTGTACATAGCTAATATATACCCAGTTATTTACATGTCCACCCCTTCATTAGAATAAATGCTTCTTGAGGGCAGTGATTGTTTTTTGCCTATCTTTATATCCCCTTCTTTGTATCCCCAGTTTTTAGCACAGTGGTACTTAATAAATGCTTGATGACTGACTAAAACTATTAGAGGAGATGGTGAGTTGGTTGGTTTTGTTAAACTTTTTTTTGGGGGGGGGGTTGCTAGGCAATGGGATTAAGTGACCTGCCCAGGGTCACACAGCTAGTGTCAAGTGTTTGAGGTCAAATTTGAACTCAGGTCCTCCAGACTCCAGGGCAGGTGCTCTATCCACTTAGCTGCCCCTAACTTTTTTCTTTTGCTATAGGGGAAGGATATCCAGAACTGGTGGAGGGACACATATTCAGAAATGACTGCAATATCAAAACAAAATGTAGCAATAAACTACTGTTTAAAATTCTAGCTGTCTTACGATTCTGGTTAGCTGAATTGCAATTAACTGAAGTTTTATTGCCCATGGAACAGAAAGAGCCAAATTCTCTCAAGGGTATGCTGCTGACCTCAACTTGTCTGTCCCCTCACCCCACTTCCATCCCCCACAAAACACACACACAACAAAAATCATAGTTACTTACAGTTTTGGCTTTGTTGAGATGTGTCATTTGGATATAGCCCCTGTCGTGCCGACAGAGATAGAGGAAATAGAGTGGGAAGCAAGCCCAGAGGTAAAAACAAGGCACCCATACCAGCACTGTGTTCTGAAAGCACTTGGTGAAGTCTGGATTGTTAGTGTACCAGGTTGTGTTCCAATCCTATAGAGACAAAAGAAGGAGCTCTGTCAGTGAAATCAAACAGAACGCCAAGACTCATGAGCAAAGCTTAAGCGCCTCCCTCTAAGGACCTGCTCCAGATACCAGAGCCACACTGAGCGATTCTGACACCTGGGGCAAGTGCCACAGAGCAAGTCTAGGGAAAAGCAGCACAACATGCCATAGCGGGAGTTTTTCCAAGATAAATTCTCTCTCTTTTTTTTTTTTTTTTTTTAAATTTTGTGGGGAGAGGGAAGGCAGAGGGTGATGGGAGGAAAAGACATCATGGCCTTGGAGACGCAAAGCACTATTGGTGAAGAATACCCAGGTCACTGTCCAGGGAGACATCAACCTCACACCACACATCTCACAATGAGCCAAAATTCAGAATATGACGGCTGCTAGTAAGGAGGAGGCTTGCCTGGAGTGGACTACTTAGGGGAAAAAGTCTGCCTTTTGGTTGTGTCCTATTTTAACTAATTAGTCTTTCCATCTGGTTCTAGGCTCAGTTGTTTCCACCTGTTGAAAGAGTACAAGTACTGTCAGAATCCTCTGAATTTCAGCAGAGAGCCCAGCTGCACTGCCCTGGTTACAACCCTCCCAGACACAATGACCTTAAGAAGAGAACATCTGTACACAATCTTAATGGGAAAATAAGATCAAGGCAGACAATGTAAACCAATAAACACAAAGGTATGAAGAGAGCTACATCTTGCTTTTACATAATATAGAAAAATTCCTAGAAGGATGGCATGCAAGTTGGAATTTTTTGCAAATGTTATCAAATTTTAACATGTGCCAACAAAAGAGTTTTCTATGGTGAAGTTTTAGTTTTTTTTTTTTTAATGAAGAATTCTAGAGTCATAGAAACACAGAACATTGGAATTAGAAGGGACATAAATAGGAGCTAACATTTTTAAGGAGTCCTTTTAGGGTCACAAAGTATTTAGCATATGTTAGCTAAAGAAAAGGTTTTATAAGAGAAAGGCAAATTATACAGAATGGTTGTCTGGGGCAGAGAGGGATACTGGGGGAAAATATACTGAGGTTAAAAAAAGTGACATAAATAAAAACTTATTTTTTTTAAATAAAGGTAGATTCAGGAAGTGAAAAGCTGGTTAGGAACATGGTATCTAAGAATGGGATTTGGATTTCTGGACCTACTGCTAGAAACAGAAAAAAATTCTCCTGGTCAGGGATGGCGGCCACCCAACAAGCAAAGGTAAGATCTGACTTGAAGCTAGCAAAAATTAAGATAGTACTTACTATGTGCCAGGCACTGTGCTAAGTGCTTTACCATTATTGTCTCTTTTGGTCCTTACAACAACCCTTCGAAGTAAGTGCTATACAGACTAGGAAACACAAGTTAAGTGACTTGCTCATAGTCACACAGTTAAGAAGTATCTGAGGCTGGATCTGAACTCAAGTCTTCCTGACTCCAGGCCCCACACTCTATCCACTATACCCACCTAGCTAGAGTCTTGTGAATCTAATAAAAGAGGCTTTAAACTAAAAATGAAAAGAGAAAGAGAAAACTGCCTAGTCTAACTAGCAAACTAGATACTGTCACTACAATGCAGGGACAAGTAAAGCAGATTTCCTTAGTAAGTCAATGGTTGGTCCATAAGGATCACAGTATTACAAGTTCAGAGTCGTAGGAGACAGATCTTAGGAGAGCCCATCTACTCCAAGCCTCTCAATTTACTAAGGATCACAGAGGTTAAGTGATTACCAAAAGTCACATAGAAAATAAGTATATAGAAGGAAGCAGGATGAGAGGTACTGTACAAATGAGGTCACTTTGCTTATGAGTCCCAACTGTTACCTGATCGAAATAATTCCAAATGAATTAAGCAGAACTAATTTTTGGGAGACAAGGAACCATCAGAACATAAAATGTTATTTCTCCAGCACTATTTATTTACACACCCCCAGTCATACATTTATGTAGTGTTTTACGGCAATACGAACAAGGAGCTCTAACACTAATATTTATTTTTAAAACTAATGCAAAAACTCAACCAGGAAGTTTCAAACCACAAAAAAAAATACCGAAAGGTCAATTTTTTTCCCCCCATGACTGTGAACTTTAAAACAACTCTGTAAATAGTTATTCACTAAGATGAGCTACTACTTATGCCCATTTTCTATGAAATTTTTCAGGTACCCATGGGGCGCCTGCCACGTGTGGGGTCCTCTAGCTAGAGTTGTTTCTAAACTGTCACTAGAAGGAACTCTCTTTCCCAAGAATACTCTCTTCAAGTAGTAAAATGATACTGGCAAGGGAAGAGGAAGGGGATAAGCATTTACATAGTACCTACTATGTGCCAGGCACTGTGCTAAGTATTTTACAAAGATTATCTCATTTGATCCTCACAACAACTCTGCAAGGTAGGGACCATTATCCCCCTTTTACAGCTTAGGAAACAGAGGCCAACAGAAGTGAAGTGATTTGCCCAGCATCACACAGGGCATGTGTCTTGAGTTCAGATCTGAACTGCCTTCCAACTCCAGGTCCAGCATTCTACCTTTTGCGCAAACAGCTACCTATAAATAACCACATGTGGCTACTTCTACAAGAGAATCTGGCTTATACTGAGAATCACAACCCCACACTATGTGATAGCTCATAAAGTAATTCAAACACATCACCATCAACACTGAGAACTCAACACAATTTCATATTTTGTTAATAATAGCTTCCATTCATATAACACTTTAAGGTTTGCAAAATCTCTTACAAATATTACTTTATTTGATGTTCACAACAATCCTGAGAGGTAGGTGTTATTACTCCCTCTCGTTTTGCAGATAAGGAAACTGAGACAGACAGAAATCAGACAATTTGCCCAGGGTCACCCAGCTAATAAAGTGTTGGAGGCCACATCTGAACTTCAGAACTTAGATCTTCATGACTCCCAGGCTTTGCCATCTAGCACTTCTTTTTTTTCTCCATTAAAAGTTGAACATGTCCTCTGTCCAAGAGCTTTTATTTGGCAGAAACCAAATAATCCTGCATTTAGAAAGGATGAAAGGCCAAAGACAGTCAATTCATCTAAGGTTTACTAAGCACCTACTAAGTGCAAAAACCAGCACTAAAGACAGAACGACAAAAATGCAAAACCACTCCTGGGCACAAGAAGCCTCCTGGGCACAAGAAGCCTAAAGCAAGAATGAACTCAAGTTAAGCTGGCAGTGCAGAATTAGCTAACCTTGAGTATCTCCTCAGAGTTCCCTCTTTTACCCTCTGTTTCTCCCTCTACACTATTTCACTTGGTGTTCTCATCAGCTCTCACCATCACCTTCAAGTTGATTATTCTCAAATCCACTTTTCTAGTCCTGACCTCTCTCTCAACCTTCAAACTCACATCTCCAACTGCCTATTAGATATCTGAACTGGATGGCCCATAAACATCTTAACACATCCAAAGCTAAACCCATTATCTCCCCCCTCCCAACCCTCCTCTCTTTCTGAACTTGTTTAGTACTGTTGGAGGGCACCAACATCTTCCCAGGCACTCGGGTTGGGAATTTGAGTGTCAGGCTCAACATCTCATTCTCCCCCCAACCAACTGGTTGCCAAGTCCTATCCATTTTCCTTTCATCAACTCTCATATATGCCTCTTTCTCTCCTCTAAAACTGCCACCACACTAGTGCAAGCCCTCATCATCTCACATCGGTACTACTGAAACAGCCTGCTGGTGGATCTGCCTGCCTTAAGTCTCTCCACACTGTAATCCATCTTTTATTCGGCTGCCAAAGTCATCTTCCTAAATCACCTTATCTCTCTCTCTCTCTCTCTTTCTCACACACACACAAACACACATACACACACCCAGCCCCCTATCAACTCCAGGATCAAATATAAAACCCTCTGTTTGGTGTTCAAAGCCTTTCACAACCCAGCCTTCAAACATTTCTGGTCTTCTTATACCTTGCTCCCCCATCCCCATTCTCCACACAAAGAGTACTCTGTAATCCAGTAACACTGTTCTTCTTGCTGTTATTTGAACAGGATACTCAATCTCCCAAGTGGGATTTTCACTTTTTCCCATACCTGGAATTCTCTCCCTTCCTTATCTCTGGCTCCTGGCTTCCTTCAAATCCCAGCTAAAATCCCACCAACTATAAGAAGCCTTTGTCTTTCCCCCTTAATTCCAATGCCCTCCCTCTGTTGATTATTTCCAATTTATCCTGTGTGTAGCTACACAGTAGTCTGCAGGGTGTCTCCCCCCCACTGGACTTGGGGATCCTTGAGAGCAGGCACTGTCTTTTGTCTTTCTTCATATTCCCCAAGTGTCCCCAGGGGCACTGCCTGGCATAAAGTAGACCCTTAATAAATGCTTGTTGGCTGACTAATACGGCTTTCATATAAAGCTAAAATTATGAAGGAGGTAAAATTTGTCTTTTATACTATTCTCCTTCCTCTTCTTCTTGCCCATTTGCCACACCTCAAAGCATTGCTGTCAGGCTATCCCAGATATGGCCCAGTTTCCCAAGGCTCCCTTGGGACTCTCTCAACTCTAGGATAGAATATAAACTCCTTTTTGGCTTTTAAAGGCTTTCACAATCTGGCTCCAGATTCCCTTTCAAGGCTTACCATACAAAACTCTTTTCTGTGCATTCTGGTTCCAGTCAAATGATTTATTCACTGTTCCACCCCAAGACATTCCAGGTTCAAGTCTCAGTGCCTCCCATGTCTGTCTTTTCAGACTATCTACCAGGACTGGAATGCACTCCCTCCTCCTCTCCACTTAACAGAATCCTTAGGTTACCTCAAAGTTCCTACAGCTATGTCCATTCATCATTTCCCTCTCTCTTCCCCTCTCCCTCCCCACCCCATTACTCTATACATTTTGCATTTAATTTTCTAAATAAGATATTTCTCTCATTGGAAAGTAAGCTCCTTGAGAACAGGGGCTATTTTGTTTTTACCTTTGTATCCCCAGCGCTTAACATAGGACTGGGCATGTGGCAAGCAATTAATAAAGGCTTGATGAAA